ACATACTTATATATGCATATATGTATCTGTGTATGTATATATTATATATATCAGCAATAACGGGTACCAGGGAGCAAATGGGCACAGGCTTAGCTCAGGAGCAGCAGCACGCCAAGGTGGGCACCACCGCCAACTCTGACTTTTTGGAAAGTGCTGCAAACAGCTTGACAGAAAGCAGCAGTGCACTAAGTTTAAGAAAGCAAAGTTGGAGCTTGGGTTAGAATTTGAGGACAAAGTCCCAGAGAGGAGACCACCACAAGAAAATAAACAAGGAAGTGCTAATTATAATATCTCCTGGAGGTGCCTGTCAATCCTAAACTCACATGCACAAGGCCATGCTTCAGGACTCTGGCAAAGGCAGCAAATGGGAACTAGAAGAGCTGGCCAGAGGTCTTAACAGCTCTTGGTGCTGAGGAGACAGGTGTGGGAATTCAGGATCATCATGGCAAAGTGGTCCCAATAAATACCCCAGATTTTCAATTGGAAACCCACAGTGGCTAATCGCTAGGAGTAACAGCAGAATTTAATATGTAAGTCCCAATTCAGCCTAGCATCAATCCTTGATGCAATCACACTGGTCTGTCTTCATGTCACATGATAGCCAAAAGGAAACATAACCCTCATGGGAGAAGACAACACAATCCAGAGCCCTATGATCTTTAAAAGACAATAAGGCATCTGATAAACTCACAAGGCAAGCCATAAACAAGACAAAAATGACTGAAACACAAGAGAAAATGCGAACAGAAACAACCAACATGTAATAATTCACTGTTTTATGTTTTTTAGAGTTCTGAAATAATTTTTTAATTAATATGTTCAAGAATATAAAAAGGAAGATTGGGAATTCACTAGGGATTTGGAGTATATGGAAGAGTCAATGAATATTTTAGAGCTTGATATAATATATGAAATTAAATTTCAAATTCAATAGACATAGGAAAAGAGGGATCAACTGAACTAGAGGGCAGGTTGGTAAAATTTATATAGGTTCAAGTACAGGAAGAAATAAAGATGGGAAATATAGGAAAGTTGGGGAGATAGTAAAGAACATGGTGCAGAGGCTTTGGAGAATCCCAACAAGGAAGACAGAGAGAATGGGTTTGGAACAGTGACTTGAGGAATAACCCATTAGGAACTTGTAGGAAGGAAAGTCACCAATCAACAGATTCCCTATGCTTGTTTATTTTCCCTTTAAAAGTAAGACCACACAGAAGCACTTCTACTCAAACTTTTGAAAACAAAGACAAAATCTTAAAGGTGGCCAAAGAGCAGTAGGTGATGGTAATACCTGTAATTCCATCACTAGATGGGGTTGAGTCTGAAAGACGTCCAGCTCGAGGCCAGACTAGGTGGTAGAGTGTGATCCTGTCTCAACTGTCCCCCTCCAGTGTGGCTAGAGCAAAGATATCTTACCTTCAAAACAAGACTTATGGCAGACTTTGCCACAGAATTTAAGGAATGGAATGGCATTTTTAAAGTGGCATGCCTAGGATTTCATACTCAGTGGAAGTATCCTTCAAAATTAAAGTCAACATTGAACTGTACATTTTAAGTGCTTGATTCATACTGACAGGCAAATCTTATCCCAACGAAGGTGTTAAAAAAAAGCAAAATAAATATTAAAAAAATAAAAAAGAGAGAGTTCACTGGTGGCAGATCTAGCATTAGAAGAAACAGTGTTTCAGAAAATGAAGTTTTAGTCAAGGACAGAACTCAGGTGACAGTGGTCCTGAAGATGATACAATGTAGTAATGTCACAGCTGCCTTGTCTGTCAAACATGCTGAATTTTTCCCTAATGGTGAACACATCTAGCTGTATTCCACAGATTAAAAACCCATTCATTTTTATTTATTTTCCTTTTCCATTATGTGTCTGTGTAAGTATGTGCGCTTAAGTGCAAGTCCCATGAGGCCAGAGGCCCTGGGTCCCCCTGGAGCTGCAGTAATGGTGGTTGTGAGCTGCCTGACAGGGGTGCTGAAAACTGAACTATAGTCCTCTGCAAGCACAGTATGTCCTCTTATCCACTGGGCTGTCTTTACAACCCCACATAACACCATTTTAAAAAGAACTCTCCAGACAGAAAAGATAATCTCAGGTGAAAATAAGGCAGGCTAAGATGGGATAGAAATCATCAGAAAGTATAAAATCAAAGGTCAATAAAATATACACTTTAAAACGCCTTATGCAAAATCTTGTTTTATTTTAAAAGAGGGCAAAGGTAAATATTAGTCAAGGGGGAAATAGGGAAAATGGAAAAGAAAACAAATGTTACCATGGCATACTTAAAAGCAGACATCAGCAATCAATTAAACAGTTTACACACACTTCTATTTGGGGCCACTCTTCCATCAAACAAACAAAACCCAAAACTCCAAAACACTTCACTGAGGTTCATGTAGGATGCATTACTGTACACAGACTTGTAACTGACAAATGGAAAAGTGATGCAAGAAAAAGCACACATATCAAGGGTGGGGACTCCAGTGCAGCTAAGCAAGCCAGCACAGATGGCCACGGAGAGAAATGGGATCCATCTGGCCTACGGCTTGACTGGACTTTTGACTCCTAATATCCACACAGAGCATAAGGAATGTTGCTCTTTCCCCATTAATCTTTTGCTGAGATGGATTCTTAGCTTTTCATAAAGCTGTGAGAGAACAGTTTTATCAATGATCACAGCTCAACTTATTCTCACCAAGTTTTGAGCCCTCCATCTACAGGTGTGTGCACCACCTCTGAGAGAACTATGCCAAGTGCACATGGAATGCCAACCTTATTCCTCTATGTGTGCATGTGGCTTCCTCTTCTTTAAAAACAACATGCTGGGAAGGCATGCTGAGATGTTTGCCAAAACCTTGGCACTTAAGGGTTCATGTTTTATGTGCCAAAGCATCTGTTTCCCTTCTCATCCACTGCTTTAGTTAGGGTTTCCATTGCTTCTAGGAGACACCATGACCTCGGCAACTCTTACAAAGGAAAACATTTCATTGGTGTGGCTTGCTTACAGTTTCAGAAGTTCAATCCATTATTGAAGCATGGCCGTGTGCAGGTAGACACGGTGCTGGAGAAGTAGCTGAGAGTCCTGTATCTTGCAGGCAACAGGAAATGGTCTCTCACACTGAGAGTAGCTTGAGCATAGACCTCAAAGCTCACTCCCACAGTGACACACTTCCTCGAACAAGGCCACACCTCCTAATAGTGTCACTCCCTATGAGCTTATGGGGGCCAATTACATTCAAACTACCACACTCACCTAGAGATGAGCATTATTATATACAGAATTAGTTCTTTTACTAGTGCTTATAGTCTTAGCCACCAGGACAGGAGCAGAGAACCTACAGGTCACCGTGAAGAATAACTAAATGCTCACCATAGTCATGGGTATTTATTTAATGAGGTTAACTGGCACTTGTTCATTCCAGGAAGCAGGGCTCATTTTATACAACCAACCTTTTGAAGAGAAAAATATCACCCAGGTAAAATGCCACTTGCCTTAACCTTACTGGATTCTAAAGTAAAGCAAACAAGATGACTGATAAATGACTGATAATTTCCAAATCTGTCTACAAGAAGAAATATCAGAAAAATAAACCCATGGTATTTTTTGAAAAATTGCTAATGTTTCTTTTTCTTTTCTTTCTTTTTTTTAAATATGGGACTTCAAAGATTTAAAAAACCTCCTAACATAAAAAGGGACAAGAATAAAATTGGATTTCCAAAATGGACAAACTTTTATAAATGCATAAACATGAAATGTGTTATACAATCAAAGAGGATGAAGTAAACAACATGATGCCAGGCACCATCCCTAGATTCCCATGATCCGATAGTCAGATGACATAAGAAATACCGATTTTGCGCATCTTTAGAATTCAAGGCCTTATACCCAGTCAAGTACCATTCTAGCTAAATGTTAGAATGTAAATTTTTTTTTTTGCTCCCTCCCACCTTAGAATGTAAAATGTCACATGTCCTTCCTCCTATCCCAGCTTAATTTCCCAACAAGGGAAATTAAGCCTGGTGAATCTAGTACCAAGAATTCTGTCTTTTAATCTAAGTTTCCTAATGTAAAATGCCAGCCTTTTTCTCATGGTTAGAAATGGTGATGGCACTCACCCTGAGTAAGAAGATACACACTTGGGGGTTGCTTTGGTCTCTCACTCGTTTTCAGGCCAGCCTTAGGGAGAACAAATGGCACCTGTTTACTTCACAAATTCACCAAATAGGATGAGCAGCAAGCCAGAGGTAGGGGAAGAATCACCCTGAATGGAAATGTGCTAGTTTCTATGATTAAACCGGGATATGGGACTGGATGCATATTGAAAGGGGCTCAGTGGAAAGTGATACTGACAATTAGGACAGAAGTGGGGTTCATCAAATGTTATGTTGCAGTCTCTTTGAAAACACACCCCTTCCCCTCACAGTAACAAGATCTCACTAAGCAGCCTGGGCAGACCTGGATCTCCTAACTCTGCCTCAGCCCCATGAGTGCTGCAGTCACAGGCATGGGATGCCATGTTTGTCAAATAAATAACTACTCCTAAGGAAAACATTCTTACCAAAGAATGTCACAATTGAGAGTGAAGTTACTTACTAAGATGTGAATAAAACTTGGGTTAATATAGCTGCTCTTTTCTTTGAGCAGGTCATACCTGTAACATTTGAGACATCCCCTGCTCTGAATCTTATGGGTTCCCCCATCCTTGAATTAAGAGTGACTTATGGGGGCCGGGAATAGTGTCTCTTGCCTTGTGGTGGATCTCTGTGACTTTGAGGCCAGCCTGGTCTACAGATTGAGTGCCAGGACAGCCAGGGCTTTTTAGAGAGACCCTGTTTCAAAACAAACCAAAAAAAAGTGACTTGTGTTTCATGAGAGCTTGTTATGTTCATTTTAGTAATGGATGATGACATCAAGTGGCAATGGGCATTCACATGGTATATTAGAGACCAGAAATTGGGGTGTCTGCATGTAAGACATTTGAGAGGCATAGCAGTGTTAATTGAAGGTATTTTATTCTAATAATTCATCTATGAGACAATTTTTCTGACAGAATTTAAGTAACAAGAATTTAATTTAGTAGACCAAGGAGTATTAGAAGTGTTACCACACAGGCACCCCAATTGTGCTGTTTTTATTGGCCTCTGGGAAACAACTCAAAGTTACCAGGAGCTCTAAGGCATAAGAGCGAATAATTAAAAATCTCCAACATTTTAAAGCAGCTTGTTCTTAGTAAATCTAACAAAAATACATGTTTGAAATAGAAGAAAAGTGGTCTGGTGGTGCACACCTTTAATCCCAGAACTCAGGAGGCAGAGACAGGCAGATCTCTGAGTCTGAGGCCAGCCTGGTCTATAGAGAGAGTTGAAGGACAGCCAGAGCTATACAGAGAAACCCTGCCTCCAAAAACCAAAAGGAAAAAAAAATAAATAGAAGAAAAGTGAACAAGTCGACAATAAATTATATGCTTTTATAAAATCCTTGAGTTTATATTTAAAGGATTTCCTTTATTAAAAAAGAACAAATCACTCACTGTTACCCTAGTAAGATTCTTTAAAACAATCACCTTACATTTAAAATATAGCCATTTGCATAATTATTTAATTAGAAGTAATCTCAAAAGAAAAAGGCAGTTTTCATGCACAATGAACCTGCAACTTTTCAAGACAAATAATTATGCAGAAATTCACTTCACTCCAATAATTTAATAGTTTCTATAGAGGTTTGGTAGAACTGATGGATTTCAAGATAGGTAAATTAGTTCATTCAGCAACAGGATCTAGCGTAACTACAAAAAACTGGTCTACTTTAGTTCTGTTCCCCTATCACATCCCTTTTCTTATTATCATTGCCTTTCAATATATTAGACATATGCAATTACAAAATGTGTGACTCCGGATATACAGTGGTATAAATTATAAACAACATAACCAATAAAGAAGATTGGCATGGTTTGGGTCTACCCCAAAACTATTGTCATAAAGGGAACCTAAAGCGGGTATTTATTTTTCTTTGATCTGCTTCTATTTTACTCCAAAAATCAAGTCACTTCATTAATATTTTGTGCACTGGAAGAGGACATGGAAAGCCCTGGAGCTGGAGGTTCAGGCTGTAGTAAGCTGTCTGACATGGATGCTAGGAATGGAATTTACATCCTTCTGAGAGCAGTGTCTGCTCTTAACGCTTAGTCACCTCTCCAGACCCTCACTTAATAGTTTTGCATGTAGCATTTGTATTGTGTAATTTTCATGTGACCAAATGAAACTTCTATGATTCTGAAAGGATGACTTGCTGTCCGCTAACACAGAATCAGCAAGGGATCATTAGGTGCTGTCTTTCAGGCTCTTAGAAACTGGGTGGTGGTGGAACATCTTACCGAAGGCCTGGGCTGTGAGTTTCCTGAGGTCTTTTCTATATGATTCAATGAGGCTCAACAGTTGCAGAGAGCCTTACTTTTTCTTCTTACTCTACCTGACTTTTGCCCATTTCAGTGACTATCAAATCCTCCAGAAGACACAAGGTGAAGAAATGAAAAGCCCATCAATTTCCAATGTTCACATGAACTAATCAATCATGAGGAGGGCTGAGCCTCTTTTCTGAATTACTTTTTGCTGACAGCACAGTCTCCTTAGTTTGGACTTTACCAGGACTCATATTTACAAATGACTTCAAGAACTGACTTATAAACATTTCCAAATACAACCCAAATACATCTGGTGTAAAAATAAGTGGACATATTCTTATTAAAAATCTGTGCCCAAGGACATCACATTTTGTGAAGCAGCTACAGCTTATAATTAACTCACAGTTTCCTATCATTACTAGAAATTACTGAAAGCTAGGAGTATAAAATTTTTATTGACTAGCCATTTGGCCAGACTACTGTGAACAAAAAGTGAACAGGATAATAATAATGTTTTGAAAATATTTTAATATTTGTCATTTTTGTTGGCTATCCTATTAATATATACAATGAATTAGTAATAAATATACTACCATTACACAGAATGCAGTATTTTTAGTACTTATCACTGGTTGAAATTAATGCTGTTATCACCTTAAGAAAGAAATAAATAGGTCCAAATTCCAAACTAATGCTGAAGAGTCATCACTAATAAAACTGTAAAATAAACATGTTGGGCAGTATCTTTTTAAACATGATTCTTGTAAACATAGCAAAGATAATTTTTCTCAGACCTGACATTCCATGTAATGGCTTTAAAGAAAAAAAAAACATAAAAATCCTGTAATTTCTTTTTTTGCATAGGGAATTAATCAGTTTGTATTAATTGTAAAATGCGGCAGTCTTTCAATGAAATGTCTTCATGGCATAGCACTTGTTGTCTGTATCAATTCAGAACTTTTGAGCAATAAAAGTGCTCTGCATAAGTTTATAAAATGCCTTATGGATTTAAAATTTAACAGAAACATTTCAAAACAAGTATAGGTATGGTTCTAAAATATTATGTACATAATATATGACTACAGGAGAAAATGCCTCACTGTAGTGCAACACAGTGTACAGATATGAAGCACAGTGTTGAGTATTATTTCCCTTTACTTTTCCTCATATTGGTGCATAAGTGGCTAATGAGTCATTATACAACATGTCCCCTTCTACTTGCTGAGAGAAAGCAGAAGAGGGATGTGAGGACAAATTAAAGTAGATAATGAAAAGAATGGCAAAAATACAGTACATATGCTTTAAACAGTGCACCTTATAAGACAGACTGCAATACTCATACTACTTTATAAAGTGCTGTGTTACATAAACCAAGAGACATGTACCTTAATTCCTGTAATAACCATTAAAACAAACTGCCAAGAAAGAGCAGTGCAAAATTAAAAACAAACATAGCTTAGCATGCAGCTCAGATGGCCCCAAGTGCAGAACATAGGACCTCAAGTTCTTAAATATTTTTTAACATTTTAGAAAAAGATGAATAATAGCAGGTTATCAGCATATATGACCATTAAAATAAAAACAATAAGTTAAAACTCTCTTTTAAGAAACAAGCCACACATAAAGTTCATTATAGCATCTTTTTAAAAATCAGACCTTTTTCTCTTGCAAATCACTCTCAAAGGGAGCAAGTCTCTTAAAAACCTTGTCCACCAGGCACAGCAGAAGTTGTCAAGTCTTCTTGGCAGACATGTGAATTCCGTGACTTATCTAACCAGTCACTAAAATGTCAGAAACCTTTGCTGTTTCGAGAAGAAACTTGAGCTGGCGTCATGCTAGTCCACTAACAAGTATAACATATCCTCTATTCACAGTAATGCTGTCTGTCCAGTGCTTTTGGACAAGAATAACCAAACAGGTTTCCCCGGAAAAAGAAAATTCATTAAGAGGCAGATTCCAATGAGAACAATGGGAGACATCTTTTTAAAGCACAGAACATACCTCAGGCACATGCTGAGGGAACTAAGGTGCAAGGGTCAGCCAAGACATCCTACCATTCCCACAGCACTCAGTCCGAGAACTGGAAGAGGGTGTCTGGGTTACTGCTGTCTGTAGGGTTGCCGGGCTGCAGCGTCTTGGTGGGTGTTGTTTTGCCATGGGAATGGGAAGAGGATGAGCGGGAGCTCTCGCTGGAGCTGCTGCGTGTCTCTGTGCTGGTGCTTGTCCTCTTCATCTTCCTTCTCTTAGCCAAAGGGGCCTTGTCCACATTCTGAAGGCAAAACCCTTCTCTCTTGTATTTGTTAAAGGCCTGGGGAGAAAGGGGTCATGAGGATAACAGCATGGAAGACTGCTTAACAGTTCTGATTTTAAGCAGAACACAGCTTTTCTGGCAACCACAGTTCCAAGTAGCTCTTGGAACAAAGCTGGGAAAACTTTCCATCCAGTCCTCAAGACCAGGACAAAGTTCTCTGGGTGTTAGGTGTGGAGCAAGGCCTCCACGCACATGGCAGGCAAGTGCTCTGACACCAGACAACTGTGTGAACTGTACCAGCCGAGCTGTCTCGGCACCATGATTAGTACAATTATTTTAAATGTATTAATGGGTATTATGTCTCCAAAGGTACCCAATAAGAACACATGACTAGGAGCCCTTTCTAAACATCCACGTGCACAGAATAGGGCCTTACATGAAAGGTTGCTTTCACACAGGTGTGCACAGCGGCTCCTGAAGATCCCAGAATGTCTGGAGTCATCAGAGGATTGGAGGACAGCTGACTGCCATCCTGAAGCCATTCATTGTATCTCAAGCCAGACATTTTCAGCCTTTTATTGGGATCAACTGTAAGAAGTCCTGTGGGAATAAGGCATTTTCATTTTATAATTTTCCCCTTTAGACACAGTTTAACAGCCAGTCTCCCATCTAAAGGGCAATTATGTTCTTGTGATGTGACAGTTTTAACAAGCCTTTACCTCCTACAAAGGTATACACCTAAACCTGCTGAAGGACACTGGAATTTAAGAAAAGGTCACAAGAGCCTATGCCTATGATGCTGTACATATGTTACCTGGCTCTTCAAGCAGGAGAAAAGCACCCTCAAAAGACTCCACTGTGACTTAGTAAGTCCCGGATAAACCAAACCCTCCGTAGCCATCTTCTAGGATAAGGGATGTGGTAAGGCACTGGAGACTTAGGGACAGACAAAAAGGAGAGAGCAGGAGACACAGAGACAAAGACAGCTATTGTAACCCGAGGGGACCAGTGCAGTAGCAAGGTGTGAGACACAAGCTAAATGCGAGCAATGTGCTTAGCCTACAAGGCTTCTAGGAAATAAGCCCCACACTATGAGAAGGAGGTGCTAGACTGAGAGGTGCTGCAGGGTTCAGAGGGCACGTGTAAGCTTGGCCCATTGGAGGAATTCAGGAATTCAACAACAGCAGAGACAGGGTGATGAGGAAGGAAAGGCAGGCCAGCCAGGACCTGATAGTTAGTTTTGAAGTTAGGAGTTAAGATGCTACTTGGAACTGTGGTTGCCAGAAAAGCTGTGTTCTGCTTAAAATCAGAACTGTTAAGCAGTCTTCCATGCTGTTATCCTCATGACCCCTTTCTCCCCAGGCCTTTAACAAATACAAGAGAGAAGGGTTTTGCCTTCAGAATGTGGACAAGGCCCCTTTGGCTAAGAGAATTAGATGCAAAGCTAACAGAGATGCTTCAAAGGATCCCCCATCCACCCAGCCCCAAGAAAAGGTATAATGACCTTGTTCCTTCTGTTGGTACAGGATTGGCAGGAAAGTTATGTAGGGTGGGTTTAAAGGGTGTTGTAGGCTACCGGCAGAGATATGATGGTAGCACCCTGTGGGTAGAAAGGACGGAACCAGGCAACTCATAGAGTTGTAGCACTAAGTGGCTGGAAGGCAGGCAGTCAGGGTGATGCAAGGCTTCTCTTTCTATGGTCTGGCTTCAGTGTGGTGCCATCATTTAAAAGAAAAGAGATGGAAGTAGAATGTGTTTGTGGGGGGAAGCATGGGAAAAGATGAGGCTCATTTTGGATCTGTTAGGCTGACATGCCAGGGGGAGCCATGTGGTAGTTCATGCTGGGAATGGGGATGAGCTCACAAAGGGAAAGTTCCAGAAAAGAGAAAACAAGCCACTTGGCAAAACTTTAAGAACACTTGTGTGTTTCTGGAATAATTAGCAGACATAGACTTGTGTACTGGGCATGATTTTACTTAGTCACTACATGTGATACAGAGTACCAGATCGCCTGAGTCTTACCTTGAATCAGATCTTTAGCCTCCTGGGATACATTCTTCCATGCTTCCCCTTCAAAAGAGAAATCTCCCTTTTTAATTTTCTTCATGATTTCTACTGCACTGGTGCACGTTAAGCTTCTGTCATGAGACTGGAATGGTACCTGCCCTGACAGCATTGTATACTGCCAAGGAAAAAGAAAGTAGAAAATCAGAATGACTGCAAAAACCACTGTCAAGCCATGCCAATAAGCTAGTAGTATGAGCTAACTCGATGAACATAATTTATCAAATAAGCATTATTGGATCAAAAAGACTGACTTCTATCATCAGAATAACCCACACATTTCAAAGACTTGTAAAGTGAAGAAACATGGCTTTTATGACATCAAAATAGAAAATTATGTTTATAACTTTACAGCAGCCCTCCCCCATCAATGGGGGATGGGGTCTCATGATTTTTAATATCTAGCCATCAAATTCTATCAAGAATGATAGTCTGTCTTCAGTTGCAAGCAGAACAGCAAAAAAATCCAATATAGATGATGGGAGATGTCCTTCTGTATATGTTTCTCTTATTGGTTGATGAATAAAACACTGATTGGCCAATAGCCAGACAGGAAGTATAGGTGAGGTTATGAGACAAGGAGAATTTCAGGGAGAGGAGGCAGGAAAGGCCAAGAGGAGACACCATGCTGCAAAAGAAGTAACATGCCGGATTACAGGTAAGCCACAGCATAGTTTAAACCCCGCCTTCATGTAACTATATGCATATGTGATTACACACACACACACACACACACACACACACAGTTTGTGTCAACATGTTTAACATGGGTATACACATATGGACAGAGAGCACGTACACAGGGAGATCACAAAAAGCAAATTCAGCAAAATCTTAGACATTCACAGTATTCTCTTATATTCTCTAGTTAAAAAAAATAAGAGTAAAAATCTGGGAACAAAGAAAAACAGAAGGCAAGAAGAAAATGTTTTAAATGGAATCATGTGCTACTTCACAGGCATGCTGTAGGTTCTGTCCATTGTTTTATAAATAATGTGTTGTGGATGGAAGGTTTGATCTCCCTTAAAAAACCATGAGTGGTTTTTAGAGAAAAAGCTTTTCTGGAGGCAATGAGGATGAAAGAAGTTGAGTACGAAAGTCCTGATCCAAGAGAATGGACACCAGAGAGTTCTGTCTATGTAAGCCTGTTCCATGGAAAGGCTAAGTGAGGAGAGAACAAGCAGGGAGCCAGGTGTAACCCACAAAAAGGGTCTGTACCAGATGCTAATCCTAACTCTCTGGACTCCAAAATGATGAGGAAGCAGGTTTCTGTAGTTTCACCTAGTTTGCAGTATTGTGAGATAGCAGCACAAGCAGACTGCCATGCTGTGCAATGTCTATTTTAATGACGGTCCTGTGCATTTCAAACAACAACTGTACAGCGTATACTAGACTATAATCAAACCACATAGGATGCTTTATTTGATTCAATAAAGGTAATACAATTTATTTTCATTTTAAAAATTTCTATTTATTAAATGAGAGATGAAAGAGGAGCATCTAATTCCAAGGTAAACCAGAACTCCAAATAAATTTGGTGTTTGTTATGCTTACTGCAAGATAAATTAGGAGCTAGATGTCTGAGACACACTCATTTATATGAGAAAATGAGAAAAACTTTTTGAATCATTTAATGCAGGTGCTGATTTTATTCATTTTCTTCTGTAATTGTTTTCTCCTGTTTCTACAAAAGCAAAGACTTTAACAAACCACAATCTGATACAATTTGTTACTCCTAAAAAAATCAGCAGTCATTCTTCATAGTATTTATTATCTAATCAATGTCCATGTTTTCCTCATTGTATTATATACACAAGGATATACTATAATTATAGCAATACAATTGTATTTAAAATGCTAATTTAGTAATTTAAATTAGATTCTTCTGGAATCAGGATTTGAGTAACACACAAATACTGTTCCTTAAGGGTCTCTAATGCATGGGTTGGCACTTCACCTTGCTTTGTTTGCTGAGACAGTATTTCACACTGCAGCTCAGGCTGACCAGGAACTTGAAAGTCCTGCTACCTCAGCCTCCTGAGTGCTGGGGTTATGGGCATAAACCACCAAGCCTGGTCTCATGACATTTTTTTTCCTTATAAATTCTTTACTGAAAAAAATTGTTAGTCTGCACAACAATAGTGCCCACAGTCTAGACACTGTGACTATGCTCTATGCCACCATTAACCTGATTTTTATTGTTTTCTTAAACATTTGACCATTAGATCTAACAGGCAGAGGGCTTCCACACTTGTCTTTCCAGGAGGGCAATAGTTATGAAATAATTAGGAGCTTGACTACATTTCTTTACATGGCTGAGGCTCTGAAAACCTTAAAAGAGCTTGATGGTCACACTAGGACTAAATCTAAAGTACTATTACTTTTATAATGAAAAAGAAAAGTATGAAAAGTGAAGGGCTCTTTTTATTTACATTTTTTAGGACATTGCTACTAATGAAAATGCCATCAATTTAAGTCCTTAAAACTCTCTGACCTACAAATGTTGCTTGTTCACTTTTATTAAAAATTCTTATCCCTGGGGGCTGGAGAAACGGCTCAGTGGTTAAGAGCACGTGGCTGTTCTTCCAGAGGACCAGGGTTCAATTCCCTGCACCCACATGGCAGCTCACAACTGTGTATTGAAGGGACCGGCTCCCCATTTCCGCAGCTATAACAGCTGAACACATGCTTGTTTGACCTTGTCCTACTCACTAGAAAGTCAGATCCCTGCCTCGTGGCAAGGAACCAATCAGAAGTTAGCTGGTGGCGCTATGCTTTACGACTCTGGGTGTAATTTACAGACAAGCGCACAGCTATGACATGCAGAGCATAGCAACCACCCTGGGAGGGCCTATGGGCCATAACAACCAGTTGACCAATCAACACAGGGCAAACCCTCCAAGGCTGGAGGGTTATGCTTGTTAAATCTACTTGAATTTGAATTTGAATTTGGTTTGGTGCCAATTTGGAATTTGGACTTCATGGGGAAATAGACGTGTTTCGAGAGCCTGAAGTCCCACCCTGGACGAAAGTCCGAGGGTCGTTTGATTTGAACCATAGGGTAAGCAGACTCGTGGGCCCAGAAAGTCCAAGGGTTGTTTGTAATTTTGGTTTGGGGCACCATTTCTTTGCCACGGTTTGTCCTGTCTAATGTCTGTCCACGTTTCATATTTGTGTTGTGTGTTTGTTAAGCATCTCTTTCTGTCCCTACTGCCCACGCACATGGCATACATGGGTCAGGGGTCTTTTATTGTTGCCCTGAGCTCATGGCCTGAGCCTGTGGGTACCCCTAGACACTCCCCTTACACTGCCCTATAAAGATCTGTACGCAGCGGCTTCAAACAGTCTTTTCTAGCCATCCACCATGGTGGGTGGGTGAAAGACCCGAGCTAACATGGGGTTAGCTCATTAAATTACAATAAAGCCCCGTGCAGTTTGCAGCAAGCTCTCGAATCTGCCTGGTGATTGGGGTGACGGAGAACGTGGCCTCGGACCCCGGATACTTGAGTTTTTCGGGGGTCTAACATTTGGGGGCTCATCCGGGATTTGCGACCACCCTTCACCTGAGTGGATTCGATCTTGGAGGTAAGATAATTCGAGCTCGCAACTTATATGTTCAATGTTATGTTTGCTTGTTATGTCTACTTGAATTTGAATTTGGTTTGGTGCCAATTTGGAATTTGGACTTCATGGGGAAATAGACGTGTTTTGAGACCCTGAAGTCCCCCCCTGGACGAAAGTCCGAGGGTCGTTTGATTTGAACCATAGGGTAAGCAGACTCATGGGCCCAGAAACAGACATGTTTCTGGAATCCTTGGTTCCGCCCTGGACGAAAGTCCAAGGGTTGTTTGTAATTTTGGTTTGGGGCACCATTTCTTTGCTGCGGTTTGTCCTGTCTAATGTCTGTCCATGTTTCATATTTGTGTTGTGTGTTTGTTAAGCATCTCTTTCTGT